CTGCAAGCTGGTGCCCAGCTGCGAGCTGCAAAGTAAACTTAAACTGTACACATCTATCCTTCCCAATTTAATTCATCCTTACCTTTGCATTTTTTTCTTGCCCTATTAAATCAAGAATTTTCACTACAGGAGGCATTTAAAGACTTCCTTTAGCATTTTACAACTTCTCCTTTGGACTGAAGTGAACCATGGTTAATTGAGAATGCGGTAACCAAACCAGCAGATACGGGAGTCCTGCTGTATAGATATGTTGCAAAGGGCTTGAGGGATCACAATGCACCTCCTGCGTGGTGTGGAAGTGAACTCTGCCAGTGCAGCTGCTACTGAATGGGTTGCCAATGAGACGAGTTGCATTGTTTGCGGCTTTGGAATCTGCATGGACTAGTTACTCCTAGAGCAGACTTCCTGACTGGCTGTCTTCCAGGATTGTGAACTACCATTTCCAGCATTCCTGGCCATGCTGACTGAGGCTGATGGGGTTTAAAGTCAGAAGCTTCTAAAGAACGACAGATTGGGAAGGCTGACTTAGAGGGTTATTTATTTATCATATTTGAATGCTGCCCCATAGCTAAGGCACTGCACTCACAGTGCAATATAAATATCTTTAAAATACAGGTAAAAATAGCAATAAGCAAAACCCATAAAACACAAGATTAAAACACAATATAAATACAACCATATAAATAGGTGGTTACAAAGACAGGGGTGAGCATCTTGCACCTTCAGTGCTACCCTGGAATATTAGGTTTACTTCACTTGGGCAACATGAGCACAGTGAATAATTTGTGAAACTTGCATGTGGTGTGAAGAAGCAAGCTGCATCCAAATAATTTGCACTAGTGGATTTTTGTATGGAAGTGGCTCTGTAAGTTCTGCGCCTTGCTCGAATCCAAGTGGGAGAGGCAGTGGGTTGCTGGGACCCATGGTCCCTCCCCAGTTGGACACTGGCTGATGGGACATTCTTCCTCTTGGGCTGCCTCCACCCAGCCAAAGCAACCTGGTCTGGTAAAGATACTCTTTGCCTCAGCAGAGACAGCGTGGAGCTCTAAATGTGGACTTTCAGCTTTTGATTACTTCTTTGTGCTTGCATCAGGGCCTCTCCCGCTGCATACGGCTCCAGAGTTTGTCTCGGCTGTTATCGTCTCCTTAATTTGCACAAGTTCATGACTCTTGTGCAAAGGTCAACAACAGCCACCGGGTTCTCTGTATTTGTTGGATGGATAAGAGTTCTGCTCACTGGAGGATTCTGGCTGATTTGGACAAGGAAAGTGCAAGCAGTGCTGGTAGTCCTGCCTGTGTACGATTGACTTAAGTCATATTTTTCCAGGTATTCCATGCTGCTTTATCCCCTTTCAAGCATGAGGTAATTCCATTAGTTCTATCTTGTAGGACTGAATCCCCCACAATTGCTAATGGCCATGGGTCACCTCTGCTCTGCACTTACCTAGGCGTAAGCCTCATTTAACACAGTGGAACTTGCATAGGATTCAGTGATATAGGTTCTCTGGAAAACTTTCTGAAGAGGAGAGGAGAGGAGAGAACCTTGCTATGCAAATTAGGCTAATCAGGGTCATTTGCACCAGAATTTCCAGTTTGCATCACAAAATCACTAGAAAGGGATCTAATTTAGCAAATTTATTTTACACCAAATCAATAATTGTGATTACATTATATTTATATCCTGCTTTTTTATTTATTCCATTTTTATCCTCAGTCCTGTGAGTTGGATTAGGCTCAGAGTCCATGACTGTCCTGAAGCTATCTAGTAAGCTTGTACTTGACCTGAAATATCTGAGGGTGGGGGAACCAAAGCACACTTTATATAGATTTTTTTAGTGGAATATTTGTTTAAAAATAAGCCACTAGCATGCTCTGGCTTATTTATAAATTGTTTATATATAAGAAAAAGACAAAACTACTGAAAACTGTTGGCACACTAATTGAGGTTTCCCCAGCCCTGGTGCCTTCTGGAAATGTTGGCCACAACTGCCAGGAAACCCCCCCCCCCCCAAAGCCGCACAGTGAGCTGCGTGGCCCCACGGGGACTAGAGCCCATGTCTGGCAAGCCTTTGTTCAACATTCTAACCTCCACGCCACACTGGTTCTTAAACAAGCTGCTCTCACTCTTAGGCCTTCTCTCAGTAATGAAGAGATCATAGCACTGCCATGCTTTGGATTGTGGCTGTAAGGATTCCTGAAAGCATTATGTGCTCTGAGTACTTTGGGTAGGTGGATTGGAAGAGAAGGCTCAGTCAGTAATGCTCACTCCTCTCCTTTCTGTATCGATCCTTTGTCATCTTTCATCATCCAATGTCTCAAATCCTTCCAAGTTTCATAGTGAGCATCTTAAATGGTTTGTTTCTCCTCTTTTTAAGTTTGGAGGTAAATAACCGTCCAGACTCAAAGCACTGCTGCAGAAGGAGAACCCATTTTCTCTACCAAGCCCTGTGTGCTATTAAAATAGCTTTCCTCTGCTTCTAGCTTTGTAAGGTCTTGTGGATGAGGCCACTGAGAAGGTCAACTTGAGGGCTGATCCTGTTCCTTTGTTTGTGGCAGGGTGTTCCCATTCTTTCTGGTTTGAATAGCTAACTTCTGGGCAGCAACTTAACCTGCCCTGCTGCATAGCAATCTGCCACATCACGTCCCAGGCAGGAATGACCAGCCTTCAAAGCACAGGATGCCAGTTGGCTTGGACTGATTGCTTTTGTTTTACATTTCGGCTTGCTTCCCTTTTACATTCGCTGGAAGCAACGCTTGGGGTGGGGTGTAATTCTGTGTCATGAGCTCCTAGTCAAGAATGTAGGTGCTAATAGTAGTGCAGACCTGGACACAGATCTAAAGCACCACCTTCTAGCCTCTGAAACCACTTCTTTGTTATCTCTCCCCTAAGCCTGCATTAGGCAGATGCTTCCAAGCTTCTGCACCAATGAGGCCTAGAAACTTGCTTTTAACAAAAATTACCATGGAGAGACCTGAGGCACCGAATTACATGGCCCATCGCACTTGCATGCGGTATACTAACAAGCCTGATTATGTGAACAGTTGAGCTCTCTGAAGCTTTTCCCTCTCATGCTTATTACTCCGGTCCTCTTGAGGTCTGATGCAAGTCTAGAGAACTTTCTTTTATATTTTTGCTGATGAGGGCGAGGGATTTTAGCTGGCTCACTGCAGAATGTTGGGGAAGCCAAAACATTGGGAGGGGCAGGGCTGTTTCACTGGGCTGTCATCTTTGCCATCATCTCGCTTCGTCTGGAGAGAAGAACTAGGATTGTAATTGGAAGTGGCTGCCATGAGCACCGCATCGTATCCTGAAACTGCTACCCGATTAGAGCCAGTAGGGCTAGTGCCTTAAAGTGAAGCCTGGTCAGTCTGGAATTTGACAAAACATTTCTGAACAACAGCCTGCATTCTGGGTCTGCTGAGCCTGCACAATCCTCATGGGAAGGCCCTTGAGGGCCTTTCTCTCTTGCAGGTGTTTTCTGAATGTGCTTTTCTAAACATACTTCTTCAACTCCGGGTTTCACCTTGCCTGTTGATACCTTCCACTTGTGTGAAGATGGTGCATATCATTGCTACAGGAAGACCAGCAGTCAGAGAATTGAATTCTCCATTGCTATATGATGGGCCAAGCAGGCCAAGAGAGAGCTCTTTATCCCAGCTGATCAGTACCATGTGTGCCTCCCACACGTCACATCCTAAAGCTGTGCCCTGATTCTAAATGTGCCCCTCCCTGTCAGGTGGCCCTTGGCCGCTGCGTGTTACACAAAGAAGTTTTTAAAGCAGGTGAGGGAAGTGGCTGGCATTCCTGGTGCATTTCATCAGCATACCCAGAAGGCCCTCCCCCTGCTCAGCGGATGCACCATGTGGCTGATGAGTGCATGTTTCTTTACTTGTGGCTTGCTCCTGTCTTGGCAGCACAGTTCTGCATCAATGAGTTTTAATGTACATCCGGAGTTCGACAGGAGAATTAAATTCTGAAGGGTAAAGTAGATTATTTTGCAATGTTGGTAAGAGATGTCAGGTTGAGCTATTTCGATAATTCTCTTATTTGATACATGGACACTCTGATATGTGAAGTTGCGATCTTTGGATTAAGATTGTTGCATTATTTTTAATTGAGTCAAGCTTCCCTCAGCAATGCAATCGTAGTGGATAGTTGGGATACACATTTTCTAAGATTGCTGTAGTGGATGCTATGCCACCAGGGCTGAGCTGTCTTGCAAATGACTATGACCTCAATTGAAAGAATATTCTGGTAGGGTTTATGCAGCAACCTGTAATCTCTTCCCTAGTATTTTCTCTCCAATAATACATCAAAATGCATTTCTCTCCTCTTGCATCTCTGAAAACCTTGGTGCTGAGGGTGGCTTAGGAGAAGGGTTAGCTGAGATTAGAAGCGAGGAATGGAAGGCTTGACATCTGGTTGGGGAACTAAATTGAAATTAAACCCGTTCATCTCCTTTATAAGGGAGGGTTAATGGGGGATGGCTTCTGAATTGTAGCTGCAAACAGAAATCTTTGTGTGGCTCAGAGCTGGACTACCACTACTTCTTCTCCAGTACCCTTGTGGGGTGTGTGTCAAACAGTGTCTTCAGTTCGCTCCTTGTTTTACTTCGTGGTTGTCACTGAACAGGTCATTTTGAGGTAGTTCTGATGAAACCAGCAGAAGAAATGTTGGTGCTGTAACTGTGTGGGTTGTTTACAGTCTGAAAAAGTTCTATAAAGAGTTTTTCCTCTAAATGTTGATAGCCAGAATATGCTATTTATGGCAGGGCTTACAGATGAGTTGCAGTCCAGATAAGTTGGGGCAGAGCTGCTGTCGTGAGGTGGTTCCTGCAGAACGGAAGACTCATTGATGCTCTGTTGAATTTCATGTGATGCAATTGCTTTGGATGAGGTGGGCTCCATGTCTTCCGATGTCTGTGGGGGAAGGTCCAGGGTGGGGGAGTTTCTGCTTTCTGAATACCATCTCTGACCTCTGTCTCCTTGTCTTCCTGCAGATCTGTGCTCTTCTCTTTGCCAGCCTGTACATCCTGTGCTACTTCATTTTAACCTGCTTCAAAAGGCACACAGATTTCACCACAGGTAACTAACTGGGAACATTGGAGGTTGGATGAATAGGAAGGATCTTGCCCCTCCAGTCGCATGGCTTTTGAAGTCTCAGTTTGGATTCCCTGGGGAGGTAGCTGTTCCCCCTTTGGTTATGTCTGGATTCCACTAGAAGATAGCACCAACTCAACTGGTATGGTTGCCATGGGATGCACTTCTCATCGTGTTCATGTAATGGAGGACATTTTTGTCACAGCAAGACTTCCCCACCACCTAATATTTTGTGGATCGAGCTTTATGCTCCTAGATCTCCTTTTTATTTATAAAATAAATTCTCTTTGCACTCAATTAAACTTTCTATGGGTCTGTAAAAGCCAGCTTCCTCCTCTGCCCCCAGTTGGAGTTGCTTCTGCGTGGAGTATTTTCTGCCCTGTAAAGCATGAATCCTGATGCAAGGAGATCCCTGTGCAAGTGTGGGAAAGGATGCCCTGCCAGCATTTTGAACACTTCTGTTGTAGCCCAGGGAAACCCTTCTCTTCTCCCCAGCTAAGGACAACTTGCAGGTTCACTTGGTTGTCTGTCCCCCATACAAAGTCTGAGGATGCTCTGTTTTCTTACTGTTCCCTTCCTTTGGGTCCCTTGCCCCTCCAGAACAACCTGTTACGTTGGTGTTACCTTGGCTCATCAGGCAAAACTGATCCCCTTTCAAGCAGAACTGGCGTTCAATCCGTAGCAGTCCTTCTATGACTTTAATTGCAATGGTTAAGCTAGTCTTCCCCAACCTTGTGCCATCCAGCTGTTTTGGACTACACCTTCCATAATCCCTGGCCATTGGCAGAGCTAGGTAGGGCTGATAGAAATTGCAGCTCAAAACACAAAGAGGGCCCCAAGTTGAAGCTAGCTAGCTCCTTTGGGCTTTTGCTCTGACTTCCATGCAGAATGTATTCCCTCGTAAGCAGAGCTGCCAGAGACAATAGAAGCCTTCTCCTACTGGATGGCCTTAGGGGAAGCCACATTCCCCAAGGTCCCACCTATGTGCAGCTTGTAGCCTGCCCCTGTGGAAGGCACTTTCCCCTTCAAATTGCAGTTTGTTGGCACTGTTGTTAACCTAGTTGCTTTGGCAGCAGTTGGCCTAGGCAACATGAGGACTGGGCAACAGGAGAGTCTTGGAAAGTTTTCCGGTTCTGAAAATGAGCTTCCTAGAGCCAACATCTTGGGCACAAAATATGGGGGGAGAGCAAGAAAAAAGCCCTTTCACAACCCCACTTGCAGAGATCTTGCCCTTTGCCTCCATGCCAGGCCAAAGTTTACTTCTCAAAGTGCTTGGTTTCTGGCACAGCAATAGTCAAGGGCTGCTGGCCCTGAGAAGTAAAGACAGTGGAGTAATTTAGTTTTTAAAACTCTCTGCTTTTAAAATCTGTGTCAAATAGTTGCTGTTCCCTTGTATTTCAGCCCCCCGCAAAGCGCTTTTCAGGGCTGCAAGCACTGCAGATTCCTGTTTGCCTAGAGGATTAAAAGCTTAGTGCAGGGAAGGCTTCAGCAGAGGCTGCTTAGCCGTGCCAATTTCTGCTATGCGCTTTGTTACACATGCTTGCATCTTAAATGCCTGTTTGATGCAGACACACATGTATCCAGGCAAGCTTTTATTAGGCCTGGAACCAGGGAGAAGGAACGTTGCCTTGCTCCTCCCCGGATCCTACAGGTTCCAAAGTGGACCGAAAGCAGATCTCCTGGTGTTTTGAGCTCCCAGCGTTCCTGATCTTTGGCCATGCTGGCAGGGGCCGACAGGAGTTGAAGGCCGAACTGTCTGGTGCTCTGCCATTGGCCCACCTCTGCTTCAGGTGACTGGTTCGCTCTCTGGCTGCAGTTGCCACACAGCGGGTTTACCAGCAGATGCCAGGAGGCAGGCATGTGGGACCCAGTTTGTACATTACCTGGTGATGGCGATGGATAGCTGTGGTGATGGATTCCCTGTGGCCAGCTTGCATGTTCCCTTTGGAGCTTTCCTTTGCCACCAGCTTGTGTGATTCCTTTGGTGCTTTCCTTAGCGCCGGGGCAGGAATCTTTCCATTTGTCATGCATTCCAGTGGCAATGATCTCCCTTCCCCCTCTTCCACATTTTTCTACTGCATCTGGTCTGGGTACGGACAAGTGGGTCAGAGTGGGGCTCCCATGTGGCTGGAGCTTCTCTGTGCACTGCGGTGACTTGGGAGCTGGGGACACACATCCGGTTCTTCAGTGGCTGTCCTATTAATTAGTCAGCTGAGGGATCAGTCCTTTTTATCTCCATACCCTTGTTTTCTCCAACCCTAGAGTAATTTGCCCCTGCGCTGTTTGTCATTTTCTATTGTATCTGGTTCTTTTAAGCATTAATCTCCCGAGAGAGCAGATTAGGCAGATTTAAAAATACAATAAACTAACTGAGGACACAGAATTGTGCTTGGACTTGCAGCCACTGAGATTTCGCTACTCTGCTGCCGTCTGTTTGCATGAGCTTCCCGCCTGAACTGCCATATTGACTTGTACGCAGTGCATGATCATTGCTTTCCCTGTGTCATGTCTCCCTGCTGTGAACATCTGCAGGGCCAACACAGAATTTCTGCTCCAGGTGGCACACCTTCTGCCAGCTGTCATCTCCCATATGGCAAAGCAAGAACGGAGTGCTCCATATGAAACCATCTGTATTTATGCAAGGCCGGCTGGGGAGTAGTTAGCTGAGTGCTGAGAAAACAGTGCTTGAGGAAGGAGGAGGAGTGGCTTGGCAAGGGATGGAGAACCCCCCTCCCTTTGTTGTCCTGCCTCCCCCACCCAAGTTTCCCCAGAAGCTAGTCGGCTTCTCTCACTGGGCATTTTGCCAGCAGCCGGAATGGTTTTGTTTTCGGCAAGATCTCAGGCCGCAACATACCCCGTGGGCTGGGCTGCCAGGTCGAGTCAGCGTGGAGCAGCTCCATGCTCCTGTTACACTGACCTAGTTTTCATGAATGCTGTGCCCACCTGTTCTGGCTTAAAGGGCTACTATTCAAGAGCCAAGGGATGCAGGTGGCACAGTGGTTTAAACTGCTGTGTGCTGAGCAGGTTGATCAAAAGGTCGCCGGTTCAAATCTGCACAATGGGGTGAGTTCCCGTTGCTCCATCCCAGCTCCTGCCAGCCTTGCAGTTTGAAAGCATGCAAATGCAAGAAGAGAAACAGGTACCACTTCGGTGGGAAGGTAGCAGCGTTCCGTGCACTTTGGTGTTTAGTCATGGTGGCCACATGACCACGGAGACTGTCTGTGGACAAACGCTGGCTCCCTCGCTGGCTAGGAAACGGAGATGGGCACCGCCCCCTAGAGTCAGGCATGACTGGACTTAACGTAAGGGGAAACCTTTACCATTACCTTATTCAAGAGCCAGATACATGGGGCATCAGCATAGGGTTCCTTTAAAAAAATGCACAATCTTCTTTACATTACATTACATTACATATGTATTTTGCCTGCTGCTGAAGCTCTCTGGGCGGTTCACAACATTTTAAGTCATCCACCCAGATTTCAGCCAGGCTTAGTTTCCAAGATTAGGCAGAATCAGGCACTTCAGGCTATACAAAAGCTTTGAGGGTTGTTCTTGCCCACCAGGAAATCCAGCTGTTCTAAAGGCGCTCCCCTCTTCACCGCCACTTCTCTCATGCCTGGTGTCTGAGGTCTGGCCAGAGTCGGTGCCAGTCTGAACTTTCCCCTCTCCAACCCTGCTGCCGCTGCTCTTCCACATGAGGCAGTGTGGGTCAAGTTGGCATAATGCAGTCCCTGTGGGAAGGCGCTGGACGAGCAAGGAGCAGCATGCTCACGTTGTCCAGAAGTGCCTGGCGCAAAGGTGGAAGGTTTTCCTTGCTGTATGGTGGTCCAGAGGGGCCTGTGGCGAGCACCCAGGGTCAGGCTTGTGCTGCAGAATGGACAACGGGGCGCCTCCGTAGGGCTCCCCAACTCGGCTCTGAAGCCGTTCAATTAATAGGCCTCTCTGGGGTTTTTTTCCTCCTGTGTGAGTTGCACATCTGTGTGCTGTACTTGCTGCACCTAACAGAAACATTTGTGGGAAGAGGACTGGGCAGAGCTAAGTTCCGGTCCCCACGCATCCAGGAGGCACACCTGGCTTCTGAAGATCAAAAGGGGCGGAGGCAGAGGCCATGGCCTGCTGCTTTGCACTGCTTGGGGGAAGCATGTCGTGATGATCCAGATGTTATAATAATGTAATAATGGTTTCTGTTTCTTAGTTGATGAAGATGCTGCTGTCAACAGGATTGCGTAAGTTCCTCCTTTTTCCTCCTTGTTCCTGGTACTGACCTTGACATCCCCCATTCTCTGCTTCCCTACCTGCTTTCTCCCCATGAGTGTACCTTTCTGCTTAAAAAGCCACAGACAAATAGAAAAAAAGAGTTTGGAATAAAAAGAGAATCGAACTGAAAAGAAATCCAACATTTCCCCCGTGCCTCTGTTGCGCATTTTGGGGGACCATTGAGAAGAGATCCTTAGAATAGTTCTTTTAAGGGAATAAATGAGGCAGAAATTGGTATTTCTTCTTTACATCCAGGCATCAGGAGTAGAGAAAGTAATGGCAGGTGTGAGGGAAGAAGTGAACCATCCCCAAAGCAGTCAAGGAACACTTCCCAGATTCTTCAGACCAGCCTTCCCCACACTGGTGCCTTTCTGGTGTGTCATACTCCAACTGGTAGCATCATCTACCAGTATGGATGCCTGAAGGATACTGGGAGAGGTAGTCCGACATTTATATATGTCCACATACTCTGTGAGCTGATTTGCATAATCGAATAACCCACCATGGCTTAAATAAGCCATGATGGCTTGTTTCAGTCGGTACTGTGTGCTGAGTGATGGCTGAATGTTACGCCCAGGCATGCCTTGTTGACTAATCCAGGACTGGGTGGTTGACTAATCCAGGACTGGGGAGAGTCTCCAGCAAGGAGAAGGTCTTTGGCTTCCCTGGCCGTGCCACAGACCATGTGAGTTCTGTTCTGGAAACTCCATCTGTTTTGAGGAGACGGAGGCCTCGCTGACCTTTGCTTCCATGCTTCTCCAGGCTGTGCCTGTGCACCTTCACCTTGGCGGTGTCCCTAGGCGCTGTGCTCCTGCTGCCCTTCTCCATCATCAGCAACGAGGTGCTGCTCTCCTTCCCGCAGAACTACTACATCCAGTGGCTGAACGGCTCCCTCATCCATGGCAAGTGCCACGCCGCAGCTCCCTGTGCCAGTCGCCCTTTGCCGGGGGCCCTCGGTGGTGCTGGGTGGGAGGAGGGATGCTTGCTTTGCTCGTGGGGTTGCAGAGCGTAGCTGGGGGACAATGGGCAGGATGTTGATTGTGGAATGACCCGGCCTCCAGTACATCCATTGGGCTCCCGAGGCTCTCCCTTTAGGACAGCTTCAAGAGGAATCTAGGAGTGGGAACTTGTACCCCACCAGCTGTTGTTGGCTCCCAGTTCCCATCAGCCCTGGCCAAGCAGCCAGCAGCAAGGGTTGATGGAAGTTGCAGGCCAACAGTGTCTGGAGGGCCACCCCTTCCCTTGACCTGGTCTCGTCCCCGGCTGTTCGGGCAAGCCTGTTAAAGCAGACACCACCTGAAGTGGCAGCAAGGGTGGTATCTTGGTTCGCAGAGCTCTCTGCCCGTCCCCAGCCCTGGCTTTGCTTGTCCCTTTCAAAATGCCACCGTGGGCCTCTCCAGGCACTTGGAACTGGATGTGTGAGAGCCAGTGGGCCTGTGTGAGGCCGGCCCTGTCCCCTTGGAGACGGGCACACTGGCAGTCTCTCCCAGCCAACGCACGAGGGGGCCTGCTGCAACGTGCGTAAGGTTTCCGCCACAGAGGCGAGACCCTCGGCCTGTGGTGGGGCGCAGGAGGGAGATGGTGTTCTGCAGATCAAATGCGCAAGCCTGTAACCAACTGGAAAGCAGCGCATTTTCTGAGCTCGAGTTTTTCTGCCTCAGAGGTGGGCAACTTGTGGCCCTCCAGATGTTTTGGCCTACTGCTCCCATGATCCTTCACAGTTGGCTAGGGTTAATAGGTGTTGTAATCGAAAAAGAGGGGACTCGGGTAACTCATCATTGTACAGGGGGTAAGGAGGACTGTTGGGCGTTGTGGATGTTATCCTGGGTTGTGAAAGAGGATGGCGTTTGGGGCCTTATGGGGGCAAGGAGGCAGCGTGCAGTGGCAGGAAAACTTGAACTGGATCCTCTGCTTAACTGGTCCTTCTCTCCTTCTCCTTAGGCCTCTGGAACCTGGTCTTTCTCTTCTCCAACCTCTCGCTCGTCTTCCTCATGCCCTTTGCCTACTTCTTCACCGAGTCTGAAGGGTTTGCAGGATCAAAGAAGGTACCAGCGGTCCCCCTGACCTCCATGCTTCCCTTACTCTGCCCCAGCTTTGAATCTGAGTTCAGTCATGCCTTTGTGTCACCTCCTCACTGTCCCTCCAGGGGATCATGGCCCGTGTGTACGAGACCTTCGTGGTCCTCCTGTTGCTGACACTCTTGATCCTGGGAATGGTCTGGGTCGCCTCGGCCATTGTGGACAACGATGCAGCCAGCAGAGAGTCTCTCTATGGTGAGTAGCCCTCGTCACTCTTCCTGCTTTTTCCCCATTGCCCGGAGGCAGACGTGTCCCAAAATACAGGCCAGACTGGAAGCTTGAGATGCAGGGCACACTTTCCATGCAAGTGAGATCCCCTGAATATTGCTGAACTTGAATCTGAGTAAGCCTGCTTAAGATTTGGCTGTAAATTGCCAGACTTTCCCACTGCCAGTGGTAACCGGGAGGAGTCTGGCCCAGCACTGGGCCAATGTGCTTTCATTTTTAGTGAGGCATGTAGCGAGTGTATTAATCAAATGAGGTGACCGAACTCCAAATGTAGGCAAAACATTCTCCAGGGGGTGCACAAGATGGAAATAAATTTGTGCTCTCTGGGCACAAGGTGAAAACTGTGTGTTACAGTTGAAATGCTGCCTGTCTAGCTGCAGGTTCAAATGGGCAAGCTGGTACTTGCTTTTTTTAAGCACTTGTATGCAGGACAGAGCACTAGAAAATGGAGCTAAAGCTGGGTCTAGATAATGTAGATGAGATCCACTTGTCAATCTCAGGATGATTTGCAGGAGATCAGCAGGGTATCCAGTTGCCAATGGTTTAATGATTGGGAACAACAAATAGCCTTGTTCTCGCTTAAATAATATTCCTGAAATCCAGGCAGCTTGAGGAGGTGGAGAGAGGAGGAAAGGGCAGAAATTAGGCATGTTCAGAGGTGCCTTTTTCTGCCATTCTGTGTCTGTCTGCCTGAGCTGCAGCTTTGCATCTGGCTCCAGTGGGACCTTGGGGTTCAGGCAAAAAGCAAGGTAGATCTCACAAGCCTAAAAGTCTGCCCACTCCTGCTTTGCGTAATGTCTGAGGTTGTTCTTGGTATGTCAGTGATGAGGATCATGCGAGGTGGGCAGACTTCCCCATATCTGGGCACCAAAAATGCAGGGGCCTGAATATTTGGGGAGTGGCTGTTGCCTTCACATTCAATATTGCCCTGTCTTGACAAGGCACTATTATTACGAATGGACTCAGCCACAGGTTGGGCCTGGATCCAGATCCAGATCAGAAAAAGCTTCTTGGATTATGGCTCAAAATCTTACAGCTGTGAACTTGGGCCAAGCACTAAAGGGATAGTTTTGGGGTCCCAGGTGTACAAAGAACCCCAGGAGTAGGAAGATCAAGTATGCCCCAACACTGAGCTAAAACTGTTCTGCAGCTGGGATGGACAGAAGATGGCTCTCAAGATGTTTTGGACCAACTTCCAGAAGCCCCTACCAACAAAGCCAATTATCAGGAATGCTGAGAACTGCCACCCAAAACATCTGGAGATCTTATTTCCTCCCCATGCCTGCTCTAGAAGAAACAGAGAGGAATGAGGGCCATTGATAGCCTAAGCCTTGGAAAGCCCCCAGCTTTGGAATGTGGATATGTTCTTGTGAGTTGGAAGCTTTAGGAAGATTATTCTGGGCTCCTCTGAAAGGCCTTGGAATTGTCTCTGTTCTTATGGTCTCACCTCACTTTGTCTGCGCTATAACATATTTCTTTCCACTGTCTTTTCCCTGCAGACCTCTGGGAATACTACCTCCCCTACCTCTACTCATGCATCTCCTTGTTTGGAGTGCTACTGCTCTTGTGTAAGTCTTGCCATTTTCATGCTTTGTTGCAAAAGAACACAATATGGCGCCCTCCAGATGCTTTGGACTATATACCCCATGCTCCCTGAACATTGGCTGGGGCTGACAGGGGTTGTAATCCACAGCATCCCGAAAATACCATGTTGCCTAATCCTATTTTCTTGGGATGCTGTGGGGGGAGAACCCCATGCCAGACCACTCATCTAAACAGAGAGCTCAGAGGCTTTAAATGTCTGAGTTTGGTTGCTAATGTGTAGTTTGTGGCTTTGGTGGATAACCAGTCCTTCCTCCCTTTTAAAATGAGAGTGGGATGAGTGATAAACCCTTCCTAACCCTGTGTGTACTTTGGTGTTCTGTTAAATACACCTGCTAAGCTCACCGCTAGCGTAGGGGGTGGTCTTCTTTTATGTGTCCGCCCAGCCCAGCCTTTTCTCCTGGGATAGGTAGCAGCTCTCTGGGGTCGCGGGCAAACAAGCATCCTCCCCATCAGCTGCACCTGGTTCAAAGAGTTGGACACAACGGGATACGCCTGGGACTGAATTTTCCCCCTTTGAGGCCAAACACGTGTTCTACTGCTGCACTCCAGCTCTGCGGCTCCAGCTCTGCGGCAGTCTTCTCCAACCTGGTGCAGACACGTTGGATGGCAACTCCCATCACTTCCACCCAGTCCAACACACTTGATGGGCACCAAGTTGGGCAAGGCTGCTTTAGCCCATTGGTGTCCAGCTCTTGGATCAGGGCCTTCTGCTGGGTCATAGCCTGACCTAAGATGGGTCATACCAGCAACATTCTGCTCTTACAGATACATATGATGTACACCGTATCTACAGCCTGCATTGAGCAAGGGGGGTGGACTAGATGATCTCTACAATTCCTTCTGTGATCTTCCATTATAAAACTAAGTTGGTCCAAACATGTCTGTTTTGTCTAAAGGTATGACAAATTGGAAGGCCACTGCTCTTGACACACCAAGGGCTGTTTCAGACCTGTGTGTTTGCACAGCAGAGGTGTTTTGCCTGTAGTAATCCTCTCACGCATGAAGCAGCCTGAATGAGATTGAGACATATCTCCCTTCTTAATGTTGGGGTTTCCCACATATGTTTCTTCTCCTGGTCTTTCTTTTGTGCTGAGCCTCATTGAAGAGTTTGCTCTTTCACTTGATGTTTCCTAAGTGACATGGGGGAAGTCCTGGTTTTTTGTTTTTGGGGTTTTTTTTTTTTTTATTTTTTTTTTTTGCAAAAAGCTCTTTGCAGGATCTTTGCTGCTTCGCCAGTTCAGAAGTGCTTTGAAAATGAAGCCTACTTGGAAATAATGGGGTAAAATAAAGAGATTGTTTAAAAGAAAGTCATGTCACCATTTCACGAGTTAGTGCTTGGTAGCACTGCAGTGCCAGCACTGTTATTTTTCTACATAGTTGTGAATGATCTGAATGACAGGAGTGGCCCAAGACATTTTGTTGCCTCCGGCAACGGACAGGATTGCTGTTCCTCACATTCCAGTGAGAGGGCTGTGGGATTGTGCTTCAGTGCCGATCACAGTGCAGCAACTTCCACTGCATCCGAGAGGGCAGCTGCCTAGCTGGAGACTCAGGGAGGCCGTGGGACAAACGCAGCGCTGTGCTCCAGCACCTGGTTGCCGCTTTCCCTCCCACCCAGCCCACACGCTACTGGAGGTAGCCACCGGCCTTCATAACACTAGGGCTGGCCCTGCTGATTAAATTCCTTTTTTATCTAGAGATTTTTCAGGCATGCTTGGCTTGAATTACGAATGAACCAACACGTAATCTCCTCCTACTTACCATCTTGCTTAGCTGTTATGACATCCTTCCATGTATTCCTCAGGTGTTTAGACTAAAGGTGCCCTGAACAACCTTGGCTGAACCGGCTTCGTTTCTCTGACTTTTCCCCTTTGTCCTTGCAGAGGAGAATTGTTTGTTTTTTGTTTTGAGGCAGCCTTGAATGTATTAAGTTGGAGTTTGGAAAATGCTGTGTGGAAAGGAGGTGGGAGGGCTAAAGACATCTCTTTGAAGAGTCCCAGAGCAGAGGTTTCCTGCAAAGCAACACAAGGTTAACCTGGTAATCTGGGTTAGCCAGATTCTGTGTCTGACACTGCCCAAGCAAGATGGCCTTGCAGCTTTGTCCATCTGGCAAAACAAAGTGGAGGCAGCGGCTGGCCTGTGCCAATTGGAGAGTGTGTAGAATAGCGCCACCTCCTGGCAGATAAGTTCACGGTGGATTTCTCTCTCCCCCCGGGCCTCTGCAGTGTGCACACCCTTCGGCCTGTCACGTATGTTCACCGTCACAGGGACGCTGCTGGTGAAGCCCAGGGTAAGTTCTGAGCTGGCTCCAGCACTTGTCATGCTTACGAATGTGGGGATGGGGAAACAGTTGGGAAAGTGACCTAGCTGCTTGCTACCAAGATACATTTGGCTGGGGAGGAGGTGGGAATGACACCTCCCAGATCTTCTGGAGTTCAGCTCCTATCATTCCCAGCCAGCATGGCCCATGATCTGGAATTATGAGAGCTGTGGTCCAAAGCAATTAAAGGGCATCAGATTGGGGAAGGCTGGTCTACATGTTGGCTGGGGAGGTGGAAGGGACTGAGGCTGTGGGAGAAGTCCCTAAAGCGGCAGCTCAATCTTGGAGCCGTCTTGCTTTTTCAAGTCTGCCTTCCTTCTGCGATGGAAATCGGGATATACATGTGGTTCCCAGGCCATCTCCCTTTCAGGCACTGACCAGAGCAAGCACTGCTTGGCTTCAGCAAAGTGGCTGCCGCCTCTGCTGTCAGGCTGAGCTCTGTGAGAACTGGGGAAGAAGCTTCTTGTTCAGCACAGCACTGGGTATGCAAGAGGGCCCAGGGCCAGCCAGAGCTGCCTCTCCCAAATGCCACCCATGGGCAGGCCTGAATCTGTGTGCTGCACGTCAGAGGGTGCCACCATCATGGCAGCTGCCGCCACACTGTGCATATTCTGCCTCTGGAAGACTGTGCTGTCTTTAAGGGCAAAAGCATGTGGCACATGGGAGGATGGCTCAGAGCCCTGCCAGGTGGGGCGGGGCAGGGAGCAAGAGGAGGGGATGGAGCGAGAGTGCCTGGCCAGGGGAGCCTGTGGAAGAGTGGAGGGAACGATGCTTTCACCGGTCTGGTGTTGGGATAATTTCCTTGAAGGAAGCGAAGCAAACGGATCTGCTCCCAGTGAATTTGTTGCAGGGTGGGTGGGATGGGTGCAAGTGGCGGCAACCTCACACGAGAGCATCCCCCTCTCTGCAGCTCCTGGAGGATTTAGATGAGCAGCTCAACTGCACAGGGTTCGAGGAAGCCGCCATTTCTCGCAAGATCAGTTCGGGTAAGTGCCCAGCGGAGCCTGAATGGGGTGGGGACTTGGCTGCTCCCATCCTGGAATTCGGTGCCTGCATTTGGTGTGCAAGGCCAAGCTCTAAGGCCTTGGAAGGGAGGTGGTCAGGTGTGGCCAGCACTGCCGATTCAGATTGTCCTTCCTTGCAACCTTTTTCCATTCTTTACTTGCTCAGGGAAAACCTTCTGCTGGCTCAATTTTGATATGGAAGTGCTGAGACAACAATATCTCGCCATTCACATGAACAGGATAACACTGGGTAAGAATAAAGCAGGGAGGGGAGATGAGGCTGGAAGTCCCAATGTTGTATTATAGCCCCCATTATCCCCAGCCAGCATGGCTGTTTAGTTTTGTTAGCGATTTCTTTAGGGTGATAGGAAGTACTGAAATTATGCCCCCCTGCAAGACTTGCATCTTCAAGAGCTCACCAGACAGAGCTCGGGTTTTTGCTTTTGTGTTTTTTTGTGTTTTTGTTTTGTTTTTGTGCCATAATGAGTTGTCTGGATGAACTTGCCTTTCGTTTTCATGACAGTTCATCAGAGGGCCACATTTGGCATCTAGTATCAGCTTCTGTGCATGGTATGGCATGGTGTCACACTCCAATTTTGGGTGGGCTTGGCAGCAAAGGGGACAGGGCCAAAGGCAAAGAGATGAGACCATAAAAAGCCTCTTTTGACTGCAGGCTCTCCCTGCCCACAGTGAGGTCTGAGAAGAGGCATTTTGGGCTTTTGGAACAGGAGGAAAACTACACCAAAGCTGGGAAGCCACCCAGGGATTTATGATTGGGGGAAGTGGGTGAGGCCAAAGGAGAGGGAAGACCACCTGGGGAAATGAAGGCCGGCTTGCATTCCCAGGCCGACCAGGTGTCTCCCAGGCCTGGCAGAGGAGGCAGAATGAACACGGATTGTAGAGCTGAGGAATCATCACAAAAAGTGTATCTGGGGAGCTGTTAAGCCTCCAATTATTCAGCTCCTGTGTGTTGTGTGTGTTCTTCCTTTTTGGCAGAAACCCGTCGCAAAGCTTCAGCTTGGCAAAGAAACCTGGGCTACCCGCTGGCCATGTTGTCCTTGCTATCTTTGACGGTAATGTCTGGCCTGAAACCCACTTTGGTATATGTTGATCTTTAAAGTATCTCTTAGAGCTGGCTGACCTCTCTGTGTTGAGAGAAGTAGCAGCTAAATAAATGCCCGCCGGAAGCTTCCTCTGCATCAGCCTTCCTACTGGGTACCCCATTGCACGAGGCCAAGGATTCGCTGGCATACGAAGGGCCTGCTCTTTCCACCAAGCCGAACGCTGTGCTCATGTGCCCTGGCTGGATTAGGTGCTGTGTCTGAGGAGGGCCCAAGAGAGCCTTCTCCTGCCAGCCCCATTTCCCTTCTCTGCTCCAGAGCAGGGAAAGGTGCTGCTGATGCTTGCCCCTTGGTGCTTCCAGAGTGCTCTGATGTCTTAGCAATGCAGCAGCCAAACCGCTCCTGGCCTTGGGACTGCCGAAGGAACTGTTGTGCAGTTGTTGGGTGTGAGGGTGATCTGGCTGCGAGACCGCTCAGAAACGTTGATTCGGCTGATCTGGCTGGCTGGGTGGGCATCCCCTTCCTCCCTCACTGCTCCACCCACCCACATCCCTCCTGGAGCTGTGTGCTCGGTGGGAGAGGACCACCATCTCAGATGGAAGAGTACCGTTCTTTGGTCAAGGGGATACAATAGTTGGGCTGTCCTGCTGGAACCTCCAAGCAGGCTGTGCAGCTGCTGAGCCCATCCCTCCCCACCTCTCTGGCTCCAGAACAGGGAAGAGAACTCTCTTGCTGCGGTGAGCAAAAATACTGGAGGCATATCCTAAAGCAGGGGTGTCGAACCTCTTCCAGCCCGAGGGTCAACTAATGCTTTGGAGAAGTGTTTGGGGCTGCATGCCAGCGGGGAGTGGGGAACGGCAAAAATTACCAAAAATAGCAGCACATCGTAGCTTGGAGTTCCTGCTGCTAGGAGCCAAGCCTCGGGATTCCAACGTTACCTGTTGATAATCCTCCCTTTTCTAAGAACATATAAGCCTTGCAGGCACCAATCCTGTTCTGCAGCGAAGAATGAAGAGCACTCGTTCCTGAACAGCCGCACCTTTAAATGTTCTGCCTGGCGACAGAAATGAAAATGAGCAACTGTGCCACTCTGATCGAAGAGGAGTTCTGTGTGACTCCTGGATTAGCGCAGGAAGAGGGGTGCTGGTGGGCTTGGGGTGATGCTGCAGAAGTCTAGTGAGGCTTAAATTGCTGCCCCATCAGGAAAAACATCTCGGGCCTTTTGGCCAGGAAACCTCTAAGGGGCAGCAAAGAGCTGCTCTAGAGGAACCTTCAGAACAGCTTTCTGGATTGGTCCCCTGTGCAGTGTCCTTGCTTGGAAGAAGACGACAACCTGACAGCCAAGTTGAGTTCTCTGACTCGGTCAGGGGTCCTCCTTTCTCTGCACCTCCAGTGTTTTTTGAGAGTTAAGCAGGATTCTCAACCTTTATCAGATGCCTAAAAGAGCACCAGTATATTTTTGAAGGGGATGCTATTTAAGACTTGAGAATGCTGTGCTGAGCTGTCGTGTTCACCCTCCTTGGCTTTTCTAGGCCATTTCTGTCCTTGTTGTCTGCTTCCACGTCTTGGAGCTGCTGCTGGATGATGCTGCAATGCCACGAGGAATCCAGGTGAGAGAAGAGTTGTTACTCCTGCTAGATCTTCCTCCAGACCATGATTCTTTACTGCTCAGACTTGCTGCCTTCTTTCTGTCCCTACGGAGTGGCTTAATTTTAGTATGCTTTTCTTTTTCTTTCACACACAAAGCCGAGCTAAATTCAAAAGTTCAAGAGGCTTAGTTGTTAGAATCAACAGCAGGAATGGCCTTCTCCCTGTCTTGTGTTTAGAAAGTTTAGAAAACTAAACTTGTGCTCCAGAAAAGCTGAATTTGTGATTCTGCGCAGAATCTGCACTAAGAGAAACAAGAAAAGCTGAATTTGTGACTTGTAGAAATTTTGCTAATTAATCTTCAGGGTGGTTCGCCAAGATTTGCTTTGGGGTGGACCTCCCCATATCCCATAAGCAGACTTTCCCCTTCTTCTCCCTGCGACCCCCGTATCTGCTGTGGAGGATTTAAAGTGTTGGAGGGGCTAATGGGATCCTATTCACATATTTTGCTTCTACTGACTATAGAAGTGCAAAAAGATAAGCAAGCGCTGGAGCTTGTAACACATTCCAGTTTACTAGTGAGACAGGTGCTAACCTAACATGGAGACAGGAGGAACCGCCGCTTGTCGCTACAGCCACCCAAGACAGAATCACTAAAGTTGCACAAACAACGGACCAAGGAGACTCCATGGTGGCAGCGGCCTGCAACAACTGTGCATGTTTGGCTTTATTACCGAGAGCAATCGTGTCCTACACATGCAAGAGTTGCAAGTTGCAGCTCTCTTAGAAGAAAAGGAACAGCGCATGTCCACCCTCATGATGATAAAAGAAAATGAAGAGTGTCCACAGCCCTGGCCCTCCTCTGCTTTTCTTCTGCTGGGTTTTCCCCGGGTACTTCTCTGCACACTCCAAGGGAGGGGCATGGCTCAGTAACAGAAGGCCCCAGGTTCGCTTCCCGACTGTTCCAGGAGGCTGGAAGAACTGCCTGAACCCCTGCAGAGCCACGGCCAGGCAATGTTGCCAGGCCTGGACCAGGGGATCATGGATCTGGCTCAGTCTACGGCTGCTTCCAATGTTCCTAAAGCTAATATTTTGAGCCTTAAGCCCCAGGGCCGAATCCAGGTTGCCTGGGGTGCTAAGCAGGCCATGTAGACGGCCCTGCGCTCATTCCTGTCACCTGGGCTCCCTGCTTTTCTGCTTCCCTGTTCCAGTCTAAAAGGTGGAAATGCTTGTCTAGGCATTTAGTTATTGGCCATAAGAGCTTCATGCTAAAATGGGATTGCATTTTGGCCCTGCCCCTTTTGCCTTGGCCCTACCTGCCACCAGAATGTGGTCCGTCCAAGAGCTGCTCCAACATGCAATTTGGCCCTTGGGCTGAAAGAATTTTGACACCTCTGTGGCAGGAAGGTGGTTGTTGTTAATTGCAAAGTTGTGTCCGACCCATCGCGACCTCATGGACAACATTCCTCCAGGCCTTCCTGTCTTCCACCATCCTTCAGAGTCCACTTAAGCTCATACCAACTGCTTCAGTGATTCCATCTGGCCACCTCATCCTCTGCCGTCCCCTTCTTCTTTTGCCATCTATTGTTCCCAGCATTAGGCTCCTCTCCAGGGAGTCCTTCCTTTTCATTAGGTGGCCAAAATATTGGAGTTTCATCTTCAGGATCTGGCCTTCTAAAGAGCAGTCAGGGTTGATCTCCTCTAGGACTGACCAGTTTGATCGCCTTGCGGTCCAAGGGACTCGTAGGATTCTCCTCCAGCACCACAATTCAAAGGCCTTAATCCTTTTGCGCTCAGCCTTCCTTACGGTCCAGCTTTCACAGCCATACATTGCAACTGGGAAAACTATAGCCTTGACTATATGCACTTTTGCTGGCAGGGTGATGTCTCTGCTTTTTAGTAGGCTGTCTAGATTTGCCATAGCTTTCCTCCCCAGGAGCAAGCGTCTTTTAATTTCTTGGCTGCAGTCCCTGTCTGCGGTGATCTTGAAGCCCGGGAAAATAAAATCTGTCACTACCTCCATTTCTTCCCCATCTATTTGCCAGGAAGTGAGAGGACCAGATGCCATGTTCTTAGTTTTCTTAATGTTGAGTTTCAAGCCAACTTTTGCGCTCTCCTCCTTCACCCACATCAAGAGGCTCTTTAGTTCCTCTTCACTTTCTGCCATGAGAGAGGTATCATCTGCATATCTGAAGTTGTTGATATTTCTCCCAGCAATCTTAATTCCAACTGGTGATTCATCTAGCCCCGCCTTTCTCATGATGTGCTCTGCATAGAAGTTAAATAGGCAGGTCGACAGTATACAGCCTTGCTGAACTCCTTTCTCAATTTTGAACCAATCAGTGGTTCCGTGTCCAGTTCTCACTGTTGCTTCTTGACTCGCATATAGGTTTCTCAAGGGACAAATATAAGATGGTCTGGTAATCCCATCTCTTTAAGAACTTGCCACAATTTGTTGTGATCCACACAATCAAAGGCTCATCACAGTAGTCCAATTCTATGCCCCAACCACTGGTGCTGAAGAGGCTGAAGTTGACCGGTTCTATGAAGATGATAAGGACATCATTTTTTGGAGTTAATTCTAGAAGGTGTTGTAGGCCTTCATAGAACCGGTCAACTGGAGTGGGTTGCCATTCCTTCTCCAATGGATCATGTTTTGTCAGAGCCCTCTGCTATGACCTGTCCGTCTTGGGTGGCCCTGCATGGCATAGCTCATAGATTCGTTGAGTGACACAAGCCCCTTCAGCACGACAAGGCAGTGGTCCATGAAGGAGGACTGGAAGGTAGGGCATCCCAAAAGTCATGCATGATCCCAGGCTGCAGGTAAGGGATGTGTGCCTGGCAGTCTTGATGCAGATGGCTCTTTCTCAGCTGCTGGCAGAAGTACAGAGAGAGCAATCTGAGTACAGATCTCTGGTGGAAGGAGAAGAGAATGCGGGTGGCAGGGAGATTGGAGGAGGAGAAATTCAGTGCTGGGGGCATCAGGGTATTGCCGGGAGGCTGCAGTGAAGGTCTGGGTGGATACGGGCTGCGTCCCCCTGCTGTAAGGGACAGACATTTGAGAAAGGGAAAAGAATAGACACTGCAGTTGTACCACACACAAATTTGATTTTGGTCATACATTTGTGCTTTGCCCACAACCTGCTTGCCTAGCTATCTTCAAGGGTAAGAGTCTGAACACAGGACAAACCCCTAACAAATCCTGAGACTTGATGTATTCAGTTCCTTCTTTCCAAAATAACCTGATTATATGCCTCTTTCATCTCTTCTTTCACAGGATGCACCACTAGGAAAAGTGTCCTTCTCCATCTTTGGCTCTTTTGGGGCAGCTTTGCAGGTGGTCCTCATATTGTATCCTTTGCAAGTGTGCCTTTTTGGCATCTTCTCCACGACCTTTTTTGCTGCGAATATTGCCAGGCAGGTTTTCGCTCACAATCCCTGCTGCTTAAGAGTCTGGGTGCCTTTCCTCTTGCCGGCTCCCCGGCCAAATGATTGGACTCTCCCATAGCCTTCATGTGCACCAACTCACTCGCAGTGTCATTGCGCCACCGCTGCATCTTCACTGCTTGCCCCAGTCATGAAACATGGGCAGGAGAGCAAGCCGGTTAACCACATTCCTTTTCTATGGGAAGAAAGGGAGGCCCAAAGCGTTGATCAAAAATACTGTCACGTGTATGTTGGCTTGTGTGTTATTTGCTCAGTGTACTGCTGGCTGGCGCTCCCCGTTGACAACTACCCCTCCAGAGTTCTTCCTTAATGCTCTCCTGGCTTAGCTATCTCATGGTCTCCTCTCTTGTGGGCTTCTACAGCTCCCCTCTGTTCACCAAACTGCTGCCTGAGAGACACGACACTGCCATGACCAAGGTAGGTACGCTGCGTGACGGATTCGAAGCCTGGCTGCTGTCACTGGGGACAACAACCCGCAAACCCACTGGATGCCGTTTCATGATGCCATGAGTGCTAGAATTGCAACAGAAAGCAGGGCAGTGGGGACCACTTTGAGCATCTTAACTAGAGGAAGCAGAATCGGCCGCTGCATCTTCATGGTTCGGGAGCCTTTAATCTGGACGCAGGACTGTGGGGAAACTTCACGCGCAGTCAGTGGACGTGGGGCGGGGGATTGTGAGTGGGGCTTGGGAACGGCAAGGGACGGGGAGGCAAGGTTTGACGGTAGGGTCTGAAAGAATTGCAGCACGCAGCTTCTTAACTGGAAGGAGGCTCGTGACCATGGCTGATCATGCTGCTGTCCCATAGACCGTCTCCATCAAAAGCCACCTGAGTTTTCAGGCTCATTGGAAAGAGTGCTGGGAGGGGATCAGGAGGAGCCGCCTCTCCTGTGCAGGTCCTCATGGAGTCCAAACAACCTCATGCTTCTTGTGCAGAAGGGACGAAGTGGGTGGCCAGCCAAGGCAGCTGCCGGTGTATACTCATTCCACGACACTGAGGCTCTACCTGCATTTGGCAGTAGAAGGTGTGCAGTGCCACCATCTAACTCTTTGTGCCTCTGGAGCCTCGCCCACCAAGTGGAGACCCATGATCCAGTGAAGGTCCCCACTCCTAGGAGAGCTGTGAGCGGCCCGAATTGCCTCCTGCCCTGTCATCAAGGAGGGGATGTCCTGAATCTGGCAGCCTCTAAGAGTCCAAGTAGCCACATTTGATCAGTGTTTCTCATTTTGCTTTTGCTAGTGGACAGTTGAAGGGAAGGCTCTGCCCATTTTGACATCTGGGTGGGAGAGCGGATCTAAGGGTGAAGGAGGAACTACTCTCCAGTGTTGTGAAGGGGCAGCTAGCAACAAGCTCACACACTTATTTTTGGCTGTGTTTCTCTGCAGATAATTGGGAACTGTGTCTCCCTGTTAGTGCTGAGTTCAGCCCTCCCTGTTTTGTCCCGTACATTGGGTGAGTCTCATCTTCATTTGCACCGTTCTCCACAATTTCCGGAGATTGCTTCCATGAAGCAGCTGCTTTTGTCATGCCGTGGAAATTGTATAGCCAGGGCTGTATGGCTTAAAAAAATAAAAACTGCACATACTAAGCCTAATTTCTGTGACTTGCATAAATAGTACAAGCTAAGTATAGCGGTTTAATCTGTTTATGTAGTTCCCCTGATCTTGCAGAGGTTGGGCACTGAAGCGCTATCCCTGAAATACTTGATCCCTTCTTTTTGGCTAAGCACTGCCCCCCATATGTCTTTTTGGAACCATATAGGCTAGAAATGCGCTTTTTAGAAAATAAACAAAAATGAAAATTGTTAGGAAGCTGCAATCTGCATCTGATTTCAGATTCTTCGCTTTTCGTATAAGTATGTGAAAACAGGAAGCACACAGAGGCATATTTGGCCTGTCTGCAGTTTAGCTTTCGATGAATATGGGCTCAGAGTTAGGAGGAGGGACATCAGCCACTGGTTGTAGGGTGCACCGTGCAGGTATAGAACTCTGTAATTTCTCATTGCTTGGGGTAATGGAAAATGAAAAACGTTTTTCATGGAAAAATGAGAAAACAGCCGTGCTGTTCTTACAGAATCACACCATGTTACAGGGGATAGTGTAAATTCCGGGCAACTGAATTTTGGGTGGATTGCGTTTGTGCTGCTGACACCTGGATAAGGATTAAATGGAAGGAAGCAGTGCTTGGAAAGTGGATTTTTATAGGTTCTGAGAGAATCTTTCTCTCTCTTTCTGTGACAATGTTCAGGAAGGGAGAATAAACAAAATAACGAGTCCATCATCTCACGAAATAGAGGGAAGGGACTTGGGGGCCTGTAGATATGATCATATTTTTTCTCCATTATAGGGATAACGCGGTTCGACCTGCTGGGTGACTTCGGGAGGTTTAACTGGCTGGGGAACTTCTACATTGTCTTTCTTTACAACATGCTCTTTGCTGGCCTCACAACTCTTTGCCTGGTGAAGAAATTTACTTGGGCTGTACAAGCTGAACTCATTCAGGCCTTTGGTAAGTGGTGTCACTGTCATTTTCCCCCAATCTCTTCTGCCCCGCTTTTCTCATCACAGGTACAGGGGAGGGGAGCTGGTGAGGGGAATATATCCTGGGCAGAAGAAGGAAGAAGAGAGAAGGGGGTCACATCAGAACCACAAGAATTGGAGTGGAGTCTGTGTGGCGGACACAAGGATGTGTGAGTCCTCCACCGAAGGTGCCGGTTCACCACCTGGGAAGGTCTTCCTGTCTATCTCACATCCATCCTACTTCTGAGCAAATGTATTGAATCCGGCCATGCTGACTTGCTGGCCATTTCTTCTTCTTTGCTCTGCTTATGGGCCATTCTTTAGCAGTGCTTTTGGAATGGCTAGTAACTAATAGAACTGCAGCTGATGAGTTGAGCTTTTTCCTTTTGTCCATGTAGCAGGATGAGAAACTTGGTAGACTTTGGCCTCCAATGCATCTCTCTCTCTCTCTCCCCATTTCAGGCCTCCACAAGCTCCCTCTACCTGTGACACGGTCCCACGAGCCAAGCAAGCTCAGCTAGAGAGAGATGTTGGCGCCTGGATCAAATTTGTCAAGGCAGCCTTGCCTACCCCCTGCTGCTGGGACATCCTGCCCTTGACGTCTTGGTTGTGCTTGAGTTCTGAGACTCGCACTGTAGCTGAGGAGGGCAGGGAGCCCTCCATGCTCTGCCTGATTTGGACCAAGGACTGGACAGACGGAGGAGGGGAAAGTGACGTTATGGCTTCTCTTCCTGTGTCCCAGATGCCTGAGGCGACAGAAGGCTCAAATCATGATCGAGACTCCACAAGTCTCCCCTAAGGCTCCTTTCCTGTCAGCTGGAGGAGCATCTTGACGTTCATGTGCAGACAGCAGAACTAAGAACGAAGGAGGAGTGTGTGGAGGACGAGCCCCCGGACTCTCACGGAGAAGTGGAGCAACTCTCTCGGAGATGTACCTTGGGGCATTTTACAGAGCAATCCTTGGGTACAGGTGTTCAGGCAAAGTTCCTTGTGCCTCTCATCCCAACAGGATGCACCGAGGTTCTCTGCTCTTTCTTCCCCTCCATGTTTACAGTATCACATTGCCTTATATCTCATTCGCTACACAGCCCTCCTTTCCTTTACTAGATCCGAGGGCCCAAACAAGCCAGGTTTAAGTTTTGAGCCAGTTCTGAGTAGTAGTTTGAACTCTGATCCATGTTTACATACCTCACTCAAGTGCAATATAAGCCCACGCTATTGGGCCATATTTCATTGGCATTCCTTTCAGCAGCTATCTGTGTGTGTGTGTGCCTGTGTGTATTGTTTTGAGGATGTTTTTTAGTTGTGTGTTTAAAATGTGTCATGTGTTGTGTGTGCTTTCTCGCACAGTGATGGGCATCCTAGAAAGAGAGTCACATCTAATCTGTGTATCCTTCCTGAGAGTTAAGGGTTGTTTTTCTTTTAATTTCTTCCTAAATGGTAGCTGTCGGGGGGGGGGGGGGGGTGGCCAGGTGGTACAGAGTGGATTGCTTGCCACCATGGCCTGCCTTTCAGTCTTCCATTGTTCCAAGGAAATGGTCAGGACTCACAGACCTCGAGACTGTGGGTGCACCGCATGTGCTTTCCTCTCAGCCATGCCCTCCTCCCGTGCGAGAGCACGCTGGTCCCCGCAAGGCGGAACTTCTCACCCACTTTGCTCCCCGTCCCTTTCATACTCTGTCCGGAGCAGACAAAGGGCAACTGGTGCCCCCCCAGATATTGGTGGACACCTGACTCACAGCACCCCAACTGTTGGTCATGCTGCCTAAGGCTGATGGGAGTTGGAGTCCAGCAACATCTGGAGAGCAACAGGTAGTCTCCCCTTCTAGAGCCTGTGGGTGAGCAGAGGAAACAAGGTGGAACGTGTATCTGCGCGTGATTCCGGTATATCATCCTTGGATGGAACAGAATGCTTGGAAATGTGGTTAGTCTGGGCGAATGGTGGGAAGGGGGAGGGAGCCTCCCTGTTTGCCACGGCAGCTCCAGGTCTTTTCCCCTTTCCTGCCACTTTCCCTCATCACAGCCAGTGATCATACACTCCTGTGCCATCGTTGGTGTCATGGACTGTGAGAAACAGGAATCCTTCCTTTGGGCTTTTCTCAGTCCTCGATACTGGGTGGAATTCTTCCGCTCGCCTGAGCCTCTTGCACAGCCGTTGCAGATCAAGAATACGACGAGGGGGGTAGAGGCAGGGGGTGGGTGTCCGTTTGGCCAGTGCAGGTTGGGGTGCTTCTTCTGTACATGAAAGAATGTAAATGGTTCGTTCTTTTCTTTGTGTGTTGTGGGGCTGGGCCGGACCGGACTGAAACAGCTCTCTCCAAAATTGGAAGGCATGCATAATTTATCTTCTAGATGTTTGTGTGCCAGGTGTGGGTAACTTGGAGAACTACAGATTGCTGAGCTCTTATTGCTCAGGGATGGGAAACTTGTGGCCCTCCAGATGTTTTGCCCTGGTGTCCCATTAACCCACACGTGGAGCGCCACACGTTCTCCACCCAGTGGCAACTGCATCCGCACAAACACCACAGGACTGAAAAGAAGTAAGTGTTCAGTTTCTGCATCCTCGGCATAGCCTAAACTTGGCTAGCAGGAGAGCTGTGCGGAATATTCATTCTGCTGCAAGAACTTATTGTGGCATTGTAAGCCCAGCCGAGAGAGGACCAACCTCCATGGAGGTCTGAACCCTGCCTGCATTTTCTGCTTCACTGAATGTCTGGTCTCAGTACTGTACTGTTAATGGATCTTCTGGGCATATTAGCAATAAATTGCCTGGTTTCTTTATTCCTTTCCTGCTGCTCGTTTGTTGCCTAGGAAAATGATAAAATAATATCCTTTAGGTTGGTCGATAAAGAAACTAGACTAGCCACCATGGACTGAATGTTGCTTTTGGGTGCTACTCAGAGTCTTAATCCAGATTTGGGTGCTACTCAGAATCTTAATCTTAATTCTGGACCTCATGCAAATGTTGGTCATCATTTAATGAAGTGAGGCATGTGCATCCAGCACTTCGTAGCTGTACTGCAAACCTGATGAGGTAAGAACTGCTTTGGCACAGATGGTTTGGGGGCAGGGTCCATAGTGTGGATTTATAACAGAGTAGTGAGTTACTCCTATTGCAGATGGCACTTAAAGCCATTAAAAGGGAAGCAAATACTTTACTACCACTTAACACTATATTTCACTCTTTTTTTTTTTTTTTTTTTTGGAGATGCTATAATCTTGCCTTGCAGCAGACAAGTATGCTGGAAAGGGGAACTAAGCCCCTTCCTCTAGGACACCCTTCCTTACCCTGGTACCGTCCAGATATATTAGACTGCAAATGGCCATCATTCCCAGCTCACCATTTTCTCTTGTTGCTTAGAAGGTGGGTCAGCGTGAGCAGCAGGAAGAGCCCAGTGCAAACGAGGGAGTGGGCAGAGGTGCAGCTGCCTCACCCGACTTCCGGCCCAAATCCCTTCTGCACTAGAGCGAGCGATGCCAGACGCACCCTCGCTTCCTTGCTGTCTGCTCATTCTGGACCAGGAAGGGGCAACCCGCAGAACCAAAGAGCGGGGACTCTTCTTCGGCCGCCTTTCACCACCACAGCCCTCCCAAGGCAGCATGCCACAAAACAGCTCTCATAACGGTGATGAAAACACAACAGTGGAAAGCATACTGAAAACAGTGAACATCAGCTTGTAAATGAAACCAACATACAATGGTAGCTAAAACCCAATTAAAATATAATTGGAAAAACCAGTGCAAAGGAGGAAAGCCAGATGAAAGATTTTCAGGGCCTTCCTTAAAAACCTGGCAGGCTCCTAACTGCAACTTGTTTCAGAGGTGTGGGGCCACTGTGGAAAAGACCCTTTCGCGCAGATACATATCCCTACAAATGAGAAGGCCCCCTCTTACTGATTGTAAAGTACAGGCAAGCTGCAAGTTGCCTGTCTGTCTGCTAGAGGTAAAAGGAAAAGGGGAAATTGCAGAAGTTAATTTTAAACTGAGTCCCATGCTGCAGGTTGGAATTAAAGGTGGTCCTTTGCACACTTTCTCACTAACTTGCACTGGTGTTTCTAGCTGGAGGGTTCATATCATTAACCATCAAAAGGCCTGGCACAGCAGTTCCAACTTTTCTTATTTTTTCTTGGAAGAACATGAAGGAAAAAAAAGCGGGGGGGGGGGGTTAAAAGTGCCAGCTGCCTGGGTCTTGCCCTAAAATGCTGCAAACAATGAAAGCCTCCGTTTAAAGCATCCTCAGCTTACTAAACTAGTTGTGTTTATTCCTTGAAGTGACCTATATTTCCCAAGGTGAACTGACTGCTTAATGCTCACTCCATGGGCATGGCCAGCGCACTCCACCGAAGAGAGAGCTTTTGCCATGCGGCACCATCTGTGATGAAGCATCTGTCCTCTTGTTCCTCTCACAACATGCCCTAGTGCTGCATGTATGCCACTGTTAACCTTAATGACTTCGCTAGGGGGTTTTAGGGGAAGAGAGAGCTGACTTTGGAGAAGAAGTTAAAGAGCGTTTCCTATTGCACTAGCACTACAGACAACAAGAAGACTTGGTTCATTTCTGTACTGAAATGGAGGGGGCATGATGGTCATTGCCTCTTACAGATTGCTAATCGCTGGACTGAGAAAGGAAGCAGCGATCATTGTGCCCAACCTTATGAATGTCCCACAACTACGTTGGAATACAATACAATTCATAAAACTGGTGTGACCGTGGCTTGGTGTTCTAGGCTGCACTGAAGGCCTTTTCCTCGTTCTCCTCTGTGCGGTGCCACATTATTAACTTTGAAAGGGAAGCTCTGGGTTCTTTTCCTCCTGTAGTGAGTAGGGAAAAGGGGGAGTTTGGGGGAGTTCTCCCTCCTTCAGTAAAGGGCGGCCTTTGATTTTAATATGTTTTGCTGCTTTTGTACGCAAGACAACCCCATATTTTATACCAGTTCTGCAGGGGGTGGGGTAATTCACAGTTTCTGGTCCTCTACACTTCAGAGGGAAGGTGGGCTAATGAGATGGACTTCCCTAAGTGTAGGCAGCACATTGTCTTTGGATATCAGTGAACCCCCTTTCTTGTCACACCTAAGCTGCCCAACCCATTAAAATATTGGGGGGCCCCTGAAAAATATGGATTTAAAGCAGCTGTGCAGTGATTTGGGGCTCAAACCCTACCTGTGCCTTATGCTCCATCTTTTAGCAGATTAGTTGTCCTTTCTGACTACCTGTGACTCTGACAGCAGTCGTTTAGTGGTAGTGCCAGAAGAGTTTTTCAAGGAACCAACTTGCATCATAGAATATATAGGATGGTAGAGCTGGAAAGGGCCAGGAAGGCCATCGGGTGCAACCCCCTGCTGTTGCAGGACTCAGTTTACACCCTCCCACTCAGATGGCTGTCCAGTTCCTTTTTGAACATCGAAGTAAAGCTGCACCCATGATGTGGTTCTGTTTGGCTTCTGGGCCCTGAGTCACAACATCCTGTTTAATAGGCAACCGTTTTGGGCACAGCTGCTATTACTGTGAACGGTCAGGACAAAGAAGAGCCACGTCTGTCTTGCCCTGCCTCTTTCTCAGCGCCTGTCAGGGCTTGGTGATTAATCAGGCAAAGGGGCTGCAACAAGGAGAGGAGCTGTCTAAAGGCCCGGAGAGGTGAGCTGCCCAGTTCTGCCTCTTGGCTTTCTACTCCTCTTCTTGTGTACCAGAATGCAGGGCCAGGAGCCGCGCCCAGCTGCCTTTGCTCGCTCTGCCGCCAGCGAGCGAGCGAGCGAGTCCTTTGGGCCAAACGGAGTTTTCCAGAGCCGCTGTTCTGTGCCATGCCCTCTCCCCGGTGACTGCCCCCACTCTCTTAGGGAAAGGGGTACAGGTTGCGGAGGGGGGGGCGAAGCTTCGCCAACCTCGCGCGTACGTGGCCAAGAAAAGAGAGCACGGCTCCTGAAATAGGGGATGCGCGGCCACGCTTGCACTCGCCACAGTGCCGTCTCCAAGCACCTGACCAGGACACGGGGCGATGCACTGGCCTGCACGAACGCGGCCTCACCAGCAGAGGGCGCCCCGGAGACGAGGCGGGAAGGGGCGCCGTCGCGGCGGCACTCGCTTCTGGAGCTCGGACGGCGGTGCCTGAAAGGGGGCGCGAGGGGCGGCGGGCGCTCGCCGGGGGTCGGCCGGGCGGCCGGTGCGCAGCATATGCCAGCGCCGCGGCTCCGCGCACGCCCTAGGCGGCCCATGCCGCTGCATGCAGGGGCGGCACCCGGAGGGATGTGGCCGGCACCGCTCCTCGTGGGGGCCGGACCTCAAGGCGGAGCCGGGCAGCAGGAGCAGCCGTGGGACCCGGCTGCGTTGCCCCGCGCCTGCCACCGCGGGAGCGACAGCCTGAGGGAGCCCGCCCGCTCGCCTCCCGCTCTCGCCGCTTTAGCCGCCCGTCGACGCGGGCGCCGCTTGGCAGCGCGGCGGCTCTTCGCAAGAAGGGGCGCCGCGGGCCGGAGCAGCGGGGCTGGGCTGCGGGAGCCGTGACGGCCGCTTGGAAGGGGCGCTGCGTGCGGGCATGGGGAGGGGCCAGGCTCCTCCACGGGGTCCGGTGGGTGGCATTGCCTGAGTCGCCGAGCGGAGCCGGGGCTCTGCCTGCCCGCCCGCGCTGGGCACTTGCACGCATGGGAAGGCAAAGCCACCCCTGAGCACCCTGCCCGGCCAGCCTCGCCTCGGTCATGCCCCCCGCCGCTGGCGGCGCTCCTGGGGACTAGTGGAGCCGTGCAAACGGGGAAGAGGGCTGCCCCTGCCTGCCTGCCTGCCTGCCTGCTTGCCTGCCTGCCTGCCATGGCCTGGCACAGGCTCGCCTTGCTGGGCCTGCTCGGGCTCTGCTTGGCCAGCTGCCTCCTGCCTCCTGCGCAGGGCTGTGGCCCAGGCCGGGGGCCGGTGGGACGGAAGCCCTACGCCCGCAAGAACCTGACCCCACTGCAGTACAAGCAGTTTGTGCCCAACGTTGTGGAGCAGACCTTGGGTGCCAGCGGGAAAGCGGAGGGCAAAATCAGCCGCCACTCCGAACGCTTCAAGGATCTGGTGCCCAATTACAATCCTGACATCATCTTTAAGGATGAAGAGAACACTGGTGCAGACCGGTTGATGACTGAGGTGGGTGCTGCTTGTGGGCAGGTGTGGAACCCGGATTTCCAGGGCTCCGTCCTGGCAGATCAGAAGTTGTAATAAAGAGAGCATCTGTCAGCATATGACAGTTGTTTTTCCCCTCATAAATTATTAGCTAGAGCAAACCTCAGCACATGTGGCCAGATCTTCCAGGTGTAAGGATGTGGCTTCCCCTCAGCCCCAGGGCCACCCTGCTGCCCCAAAATTCAGTGGCAGGAAATGCAGCTGGACTTGCGCTTGAATCCAAACCTGGCCTTTGCTTCTGGTTAATTTGCTGCAAGTAGTGCCTAGCTGTGAGATGAGCCTGTACTGCAGGTTCTCTAATTCGGCTCTCTTTCATTCAGAGAAATCTTTGTGTTGGGCAGAGCACAGAGAAAGCTGAAGGAGCTGCAGCTTGCTGACTGCAGGGTCACTCTGTGGAGAACTTTGACAAACCAGCTCCTTGCCCTTTTTATTGGGGGAATCTTGAAAAGAAAGAGGGACTAACAAGAGAAGTTTGGGTGCCTGGATCGTTTCTCAGAGCGGCAAAGGCACAGCTAAGGTTCGCCATTCGGGAGAGTGCCACATTCACAAGGGCAGGTGCTTTCATCGGCTGAACCTGCGGAGCATCAGAACACTTGGCTAACTGAAAATTACACATGTCCCTGCTAGGTAAGGAAGAGCTAATGCTGAGCCCTCCCCACCTTCACCTGCCCACTCCAAGCTTTTAATGGCCCCCGGAACCTCTTTCTTGCCCTTTGAAATATGGTAAAAAAAGAATAATTGAGACATTTGTTTCTGAGGCAGGCTATGCAATATCACTTTATCTACCATACATGTGTGGTTAGGTTGGGAAACCATATTGTCTACGCTGTTACCAGCAATGGTGAATCGTCCAGTGTGGCTTTTTGTTAAGGGCATTTTAAAATACCCTTTATAGATTGTTTTCTGATTTGTTGTGCAAGTTGTCTATCTACTCTGCTTTTCTTGGGTCACTTTCTTTTTGAAATTCAGCTTAATATTCTGGATCTTAAGTTGTTAGTGTGTATTGTGTTAGAATGCTATGGTACTGAGTCCTGTTGAACATTTTATTGAGAAATGTGATGTAAACCTATTATACTTGTGTAGGGGAAAATGTGGAACATTCTGTGGAGAAAAAGTGTAATGTGTGAGGCAACCCTTACTGACTCTTTAGGCCCGTGGGGAAAGACAAGGGAAGTGCTTGTGTGTTTAAAACTAGGCATAATTGTGGGTGCCCTTCTCCAGGACTGGCACCGTTCCCTTGCAAGACTGCCTCAAGCCCCTGTAGAACTTTCCTAGGACAGGACATCATAACTACTGGACACTGTGGTTAGTTAAGCACTGTTGCATGCCGACAAAGGTAATTGCTTTTGCCAAACGCCAAAGTAAGGCAGAACACAAGCTTCAGAGAGGTGCATTTTGGCCAAATGCAATTTAAGGATCCTGGTCTATTTCTAAGTGGAAAGAATTTCCCATCATCCCTCAGACTTCTTAGTTGTTAAATATGTCCTGTTCTTGGATTGTTATTTCCTTCCTTTAACAAATCCCTGCTTTTCCTCTTAGGTTTTATGATGCCCTGCCTGAGAGGCAAGTGGGGGCTGCACCTTAGTGACAGCATGTGTACTGGATGCAGAGGGTCCCTGGTTCAGTCCCTGGTGGTTTTAGATCTTGAAATGGATGGTTTTGGGGGGGACTTCTTTAAATGGCCAGGGGTAATACTTAAGTTACGAAGCATACCACTAAAACTTCATTCTGCCTGTCCAGTCATCATTCCAGGTGTAATAACTACATTGGCATTCTTGATACGTTGAAATTTTTGCCAATCCTGATTTCTTTCTATTAAAAATATTCTGAGTACATGCAGTTTTGCATCGTATGCTTACTTAAATCATGGCACCATCATAATCACAATAATACAGTGTGGTTTGCTTTTGTGACTCCCCCGTCACCTGCTGGTCATTTTATGGGGCTCCTGGATTTTGGCCTCAAGGTTCAGCTCCAGTTGCATCACTGCCTGGCACAAGACTGGGAAAGACTCCTTGCTGAAATTCAAAAGAGCTGCTGCCAATCAGTAATAAAGGGACCAATGGTCTAACTCCGAATGAGGCAGCTTTCTATTTTCCTAAGATAACTTAACAAGAAAATAATCAAATCCAAACTCATCTTCACATAGCATCTGCCAAAATCAAGATCACTGAAGAATCCTGCTCTCATAGTACAAGGAGCAAAACAAAGTACCTTTGCAAGAGCTAGCTAAAAAGACGTGAACAAAACCAAGGCTAATTCCGCAGCAGGAGTTCTCAGATCCCATGTGTGGGACAGAGCATCTGAGGTGGAAGGCACGGTTCCAAGTCACAGAGGAACCTGAGGGAAATGGAGCCTCCACCAGCAGCAGGCAAGAGGATCGAACGCCCCGCACAGAGGATCTTCCTTGATCCACAGCAGATGTGTTCCTTTATTTAGACCCTCGCCCCAGTCAGCACTGGGAAGGAGAGTGGCTCAGCATTGCTCTGTGGGTAGTTTCAGGAAAGGTTGCCTTTAGATATCCTGTCTAATGTCAGTGTTGTGCTTGTATCCCCAACCCACTTGCCGCTCAGTCATAGTCCGCACAGATCACCACATGCTCACCAGCAGAGCATGGTCAGTGCCAGGTCAAGGGGCTCAAAAGGCAGAGTATATTTTAGACCAGGGCGAGGCTGAGCTCTGAAAGGTTTGAGGAATTTCTTCTGCAGGAAAAGCAGAACTAAGAGTCCCAGTAAACAACCTGATTGGGGGACTGGGGCAGGATTCCCCAACCCTAACCTCAAATATGTAGATGGCTTACTGCTCTGAATATGACGCAAAACTCATTCACTGAGATGCATCTTCGTATTTTTCTTGGGGAACAATGGAAGTCCTTCCAAACAACCCCGTGTCCCATTGTGACACCTCTTGGTGAAGGGTGACTTTTGGCTTCTCAGGTCTAGGAGGATGGGCTGAACCTGGTCAGGTATGAATGCCTCACACAATGTGATAGTAAAGAGGAATGGGACAGAGCTCAGCATAGATTACTACTGGCATCTTTAAAGTATCTGCTGAAAGGAAGTAGATACTTCCTACTGGGTATGGAATGGGCTTCCACAGGAGGTGGTTGAGGCCCCATCGGTGCGGGTGTTCAAAGATAGGCTGGACATGCACGTGGTAGGCATGTCATGAACGGAGCTGGCTGGAGCTGGGGGTCAGTCTAGATGGCCTGGGAGACCCCTTCTGACTCACTCTGTTTCTGTGTTTCTATGTTTACTGAAAGGAATTGTTTGAAGATCTCCATGCTCCGAATACTTCTATTTATCTCCCAGTTTGCCTTGCAGGGAAATGGAGGCAGAAACATCATGTCTGATCTTGTCCCAGCGGTGCATAATCAGCTTACAAAATTCATTGTCGCAAAATGCAATGATGGCCAATTACTTAGATGGCTTTAAAAGGGGCTTCGGCAGGTTTTTGAAGGCTTGGTATGTCAGTGAGAATAGTTATCATAGTGAATTGAAACCTCTGTGTTCAGAAGCAGTTGTGCCACTGAATACCTATTGCTGGAGGTCACAGATTAGGACAGTTTGATCGGTCATTCTGGGAGCCAAGATCAAGGCTAGATGGACCTTTGGTCTGCTCGAACAGAACTTTTTATATCCTTACAAGGAAGGTTTTCATGGAATGGTAGAGTTGGAAAGGGCCGTGAAGGCCATCAGCTCCAACCACCTGCTGTTGCAGGACTCAGTTTACACCCTCCCACTCAGATGGCTGTCCAGTTCCTTTTTGAACATCGAAGTAAAGCTGCACCCATGATGTGGTTCTGTTTGGCTTCTTGGCCCCAAACAGGATGATAACATTGCTCTCCATTTGCTTTGGGCTCCAGCTCCCATCAGCCCCAGGCAACATGGTCAAGAATCCTGGGAGCCTCCAAAAAAATCTGGAGGACACCAGGTTGGGGAAGGCTGGTGTAACCAGGGAAGTGAGGAACCCAGCGGAGCAGAGGTCAGGTGTGTGCTGCGAGCTGACAGGCTCCTTCCTGGGGTAAGGTGTGCTACCCTAGTTCCTGACTGAGTTGCTACCATCACACCAGCAGGGGCGACCTGGTCGCCTAAGTCCTACAGGCACCTGACACACGCCTGTAATATTTGCTTGCAAACCCTGGACTATACACAAGCAGGAGTAGGACATGCCAGTACAGAGGTGGCGAGGTCCTCCTTGCTGGGTAACAAATGGTTAGGGAAAGGGGCACAGTGGGAGGAGAGGGGATTCTCTCCTTGCGGGACGATGGCATTTCGCCTCTTGTGGGCAGAAGGCTGACTTCGTTCCAGTTTCCTGCTGCTGAGTCACAGCATGCCATCTGAAGGCCGGGTGGGAGAGGGCTGGCAGCAGCCATTTGGCTCTGAATAGCTACGGGGGCGTGTGGGGAACAAAGAAGAATTGCAGGAAGGTTCGCTGGCTGCCCTGGGACATGAGAGACTGCTCTGAATGGAGACAGGAAGCTGGAGCGTGGGCTTAAGCGCCATTCAATATTCCTTGCGATGATGCCACAGATGCATTTTGTTCATGCTCAGGAGTGGACTTATCCTCACAATGGCCCGCTGGACCAGTGTGTTTCTTGCCTTCCCTGCAGCATGCAGTTCAGTCTCCCTGCCTGTCATTACTAGCCCGTCGCACTTTGATCTACTTGCCCTCTTCTTGAGGCTTGCTGCGTTCTGGATTTTGCCACTCTTGGATGGCCTTTCCTGCAGGGAAGGAGCTGAGCGGATGGGGATGTCATTCCTGTTGGAGGCCATGATTTTTTAAATGATCAGTGGTCCATTTCTAATGGGTCTCATTCCCAATAAAGTGCCTCATCTACTCAGGGATCTTAACTGAGAGGCTCTCCTTGCATTATCCTTGTGGCATAAAAGTGTCTTAGTAAAAGCTACTGAAATCATCCCTGGTCCATCTTGTGCTCTCCCTATTTTCTCCTACATTGTTTA